ACTTGTGATCCCATAGTCTAAGCTGACATCCCAATGCAATGTTGGGGGAGTATTGCGTTGCCAGAGGTACCATCATTTGGATGAGGTGTTAAACCGAGGTCCCATCTGCCTGTTTATAATAATAATAATCCTTGCATTTGATATAACGCTTTTCACGTCGGGAGGACGTCCCAAAGCGCTTCACAGAACACACTGTAAAGTGAATTGACTGTATATTTGTGGGCGAACGCGGCAGCCAATTGCGCACAGCAATGTCCCACAAACAGTCGTGGATTGAAAATGACCAATTTATTATTGTTTTTATTTATTATTTATGTTTTTATTTATTTATTTTATTTATTGTTTTGGAGGGATTATTATTTTGGGTGGATGTTGAAGATTCCACAGCACTATTTGAAATGAGAAGGGAGCTTCTTTGAGTCCCCCAAATAAAATGAGTCACTCACTCCCATGATTGTTTGCGGGACACTGCTGTGTACAACTGGCTGCCACATTTCGCCCACCAAGTACACAATCCACTTCACAGTATATCCTGTGAAGCACTTTGAGACATCCCAATGACATGATAAGGTACTATATCAAAATTCAAAGATTATTACATTATTACAGTATTATTATTTCGAGTAACGCCATGAAATCTTTAAGGTCTACCTGATCAGTTTAATGTCTCATCCAAAGGACAGTACCTCTGACAATATACCACTCCCCTCCCCCTCATCCTCATCATCCTTGGCTAAGAATGTTGCTTCCTTCCTCAATTCGAAATTACAGCCCACAAAGAAGCCAGTTGCTCCAACAAGACTGTGCTAGTTTGCCCATTATATCTCTAACACATCAAGAACTCTGGTCTCTCTGGTTCCACATCCATAATTTCAAGACGATACAAATCTCTGCCACCTGGATCCTCAGCTGCACCAATTTCTGCACACCCATCACCCCAGTCCTTGCCAGGCTCCGTTACCTTCTTGTCTCCCAATGGATTGATTCCAAGGTCCTCACCCTTATGTACAAACCCGTTCACACTCTAGCTCCTTCCTACTTTGTTTATCTTCTCTTACACTGCTCGGCTAACTCAAGCCCCATCCACCCCCAAGCCCTTCTTGCCCTTTCCTGTAACCTTCTGCCTGACCCCTTTATCTGTGTTAAATGCTTTCTCAAAAACAACCTTTTCGAACACGCCCACCACAACAACAAATTGCATTTATAGAGCGCCTTTCACATCAAGAGGACGCCCCCAAAGCGCTGGACAATGAGGAATTTGCACCCGACCTGCAGGTGGGCTCAGAGAGAGGTGGAGGGCAAGTGGGTGGAGCAGAGAGGATGACCCAAGGCACAGTCGAAAAGGAAGGTCTTGAGATGGACCTTGAAGGAAGCAATGGAGGGTGTTACCTCTCTTTCTCCTGCTTGGTGTCTGACCCCATCACTGTAAAGCGCTCTGAAATGTTACCCTACCTGAAGGTGCTATATAAATGCAAGTTCTTGTTGTATCTTTCACTGAACGCTACTTTTTCTCAACAAAAAGAGAATAAATAGTCTACAACTTGAGGGCATTTGATTGTGTAAGTGCAAAGCAACTCTTGCGGATCATTTATGAAGCCACCTTTTGAAAAGAGGAGTCAAATTGTATAGCGAGTGCTAAAAATAATGTCTGTCTTTCTAATGGGCAATCTCATTAAGATTGCTATTTTTAGCTCTTGGCCTAAGTTAATCATCACTGTGGTCCCTTCTGAGGCACAAAATTCCACCTAATCTTAGTCTGCAAGACCGCATTGTCTTAAAATGTAAGTTTGCACAGAAATTGATGTAAAAGACTGGATTTAAATTCAGTCTTCTTTAGATTCAGTTTTCTTTGGATCCAGTTTCTGTAGATCTAAAAAAAAATTGCTGTCAAATTAAGACTGAGTTTAAGATTTTCCCACAAATCTGTTCCATTTTAATTTTAAGACAAAATACTCCTACCACCTAAGACTAGGTGGAATTTCGGACCAGGGATCCTACTTTTCTTNAAAAAAAACTGGCTCCCTATACCCCAGCAGATGGACTTTAAGATCCTCGTCCTTATCTTCAGTTGACTCCCCAGCCTTGCCTCATACTACCCCTGCAATCTCTTATAGTGGAGACTTATTTGGGGAGTGTCCTGTAGTGTATTGGTTAGAGCACTCGCCTCGCAAGTGAGAGGACCCAGGTTTGATTCCCGGGCAGGGCGAAACCTTAGGCAAGTTTCCTTACTCCACACGCCTCTGTTTACCTCGCAGTGAGTAGGAACCTGCTTGTTAGTTGATTGGCAGATCGCTTTTCTGGGAATAATAATCCCTTCAAATAAATAACTAATTAAATTGGTCACTTAATCCGCTGCTACGTGCAATTGCTTGCCGCAATTCACCCACAAAATATACAGTCAATTCACTTTACAGCGTATTCTGTGAAGCGTCTTGAGACGTGTCGAAAACGTGGTAAGGCGCTATAGCGAATGCAACAACCGGGTTTCTACTTACTGCTAGGTAAACAGAGGCTTGTGGAGTAAGCAAATTTACCTAAGGTTTCGGCTGCCCTGGAATTGATCTCGAGTCCTCTCACTTGCGAGGCAAGCGTGCTAACCACTCTGTCATGGAACTCGACTGCACGTGTTGGAAAGGGTTCAGAGTAACCAGGATGATTTCCAGCGATTTGCACGGTGAGGTCTTGATGAGCTGAATGGCCGTTCAAGATCTTGCTCATGAGCAAAGAACGTTACAATGAGGTCGTCTGTTAAGAAGCAAGGAGTTGGCATTAACTGGACTTCATTAATATTTTCTGTTGAAACAAGAGAAAACAGTGGAGCCGGTCTGTGACATCTTTGGCAGCACGGAGCAGTTGAGTTAACACTCGCAGGGATGTGCTGTTGAGATGACTTAAAGCACGTCAACCTATTGTCTGTAATGTTAATTCAGCCCTGTTGTCAGGCTCGGCTGCTCCTCGCAACCATCAGACACAACAGTAGCGCTCACTGGCCGAAACAAAAATATCCAAGAGCCAGCTCAGCAGATAAAATCAGCTATAAATAAGAGCTTGTTGAAGATGCACGCGGTGCTTTCAAAGGGGATTCTCAAATGCGCTGCTCTAGAAAATGGCAGACGCAATATCAGCGAGACTCAAAGGATGAGTGGGTGGATTGGTGGATGGATGGATAAACGGGTGAGTGGGTGGATGGGTTAAATGATGCCTCATTAACTCCCGTTAACCCTGCAAGGACACCCTGAGGGTGATCCTCACCGGACAAACAGCAGGAAGCTTGCCAGGCAGTGCTCTCAATGACGAGCTGTGTGGTTTTCGTTGGGCAGACCCCACCAGCTCCCCAACAACTGCAAAATACACAGCCACTACACTTCACAGCAAAATCTTATGTGGTGCTTTGATACATGAAAGGTGCAATATTAAATGCAAGGATTAGTACAGGGTGACCAGAACGTTGTGATATCTACTCTATTATGTAAAAAAAATACACCATAATTTCTTTAGGACTTATTAGACATTGTAATGGTATCACAACTTTTTGGTCACCCTGTATTAGTGTTCAATTAAGGAGTATGGGGAACAGGCAGGGAAATGCGACTGAAACATCTGCCTCTTTGTTTCATGATGTCAAAGTAAAGGCATGTTAGCCATCATTATTTCATTTGGCATAGAACCAATCTCTTAACGTTACGACTGGTTTAGTACAACTGCAACCTTGTCACAGTGAAGGTAAAACAAATCACCAAATCCAGTCAGAAGGGGAATTTCCATGAATATTGGACAGTTTTATGATCGAATTTTAAAGCTGAGTAAAAATTGTCACCTTCGTTCGCCTACAACATACACGAGCTACACTTTGCAATGAATCCTGCGAAGTGCTTCGAGACATCTTCCCCACTTGAAAGGCGCTATGTGAAAAGTAATGATTATTTTTTTAAAGGAAAGATATTATCCTCTAAAAGACACTGACTTTCCATGGGGTCTATTACGTTTGTGTTGAGGTTATGCCTACGGCAGGACTTTGATGAGCAGACAGGTGACTGGGGGCAGGACTCTTTCTTCTCACCTCCTTGTTAACCCTGCAACCTGAAGCCCTAATGGGTAGGGTAGTCCAAGCTGGACAAGCAGCAGGAAAGCTTACCAGAAGGTGTTCTCAATGGCAAGTTACGTGGTTTTAACTGGTTGGATTCCAGCAAGCACTCAAAACATACACTCTGTGTCCCCAAGCTTTGGCTTTTGCCAACCTGCGCCTAATACTGTTCGGAATTAGGTAAGCAGGAAGCGTCCCTCCAGGGAGAGAGAGAGAGAGAGAGTGCATTCCGTTCCAACAATCTGTCCCTGGGATTTCCTCGTGCAGGCGGGATGGTTTGGAGACTCTTTTAAGCATGGTGATGGGTTTCCTCATGTGTCATGGCTGCCCAAACGAAATATTGAGTTGTGTAAGAAATGATTTGAGTTGTGCAAACCACGTATAAGAAATGATAATTGTGCAAAACGAGAACTGTAGGTTATTTAATTAACCGATGAAACGTTTACACTTGGTTTGCATACACTTGTGCATTATACCCCAAGGGAGATGGTGGAAGCAGTGGAAATGTTGATTCTTTCAAGAACAAATGAGCTAGATTTCTGTTAGGAAATAATATCTTGGGATACAGTATATTGTTTGGGAAATCACACATACACGCAACTGGTGGAAGGAAAATTATAATATAATAATCTTTGCATTTGATATAGCGCCTTATCACGTCTTTGAGACGTCTCAAAGCACTTCACAGAACATATTGTGAACTGAATTGTCTGTTTATTTGTGAGCGAAACTGGATGGCTGTTGGGCTTCTTTCGTCCAGCAAATTCTTATGTTAAATTCGATTGAGAATGGACACAAGTCATCGAGTAAATTGAGGAATGGACAGTAAAGTAGCCAATCTAACAATGTAATAGTTCCTCTCTTGTTGCTGCTGCTTTATTAACACACAGCTCTTGTATTTCCTTTTATTTGACAGTAAAACCGACAGTTATAGATGTTGATATTTTTGTGAACAGCATCGGGCCGGTTTCGTCAATTAACATGGTAAGTGAGCTCTGTGCCCTAAGCGCAGATTTAATTACGTTGCATTGTGGCTTTGGAACCATGGCTTGTCGGATTTTCCCTGCCCGTTCAGCTTGAGAAAGTTAACTCGGGAAGTGATGTATGTCAGAGTCAGTACAGTTACATCGACTTCAATTCAGCAGTGTGGGATGAGTGCAATTAACAACTCCATGAGTGTGTTAAAAAAGGGGGCCGGTAGGGGAGAGAATTCTCACCGGGGTGAAAATGTAACATTCAGCGTGATAATTATCACATTATCACATTGTAGGACATCCGCTGCCGGTCATGTTCTAGCCACTAACTTTGGAAGTTGAGTTATCAAGATATAATGGGAATCTACTCTCAACTGCAGATCCATTCGATGGGTGAGGGTGGGGGAAGGGAGGAGGAGGAGGAAGAAAGAAAGAGACAGAGAGAGGGAAAGGGGTCCAAATTCCAGGTCATCAGGTTGCTGCTAACATCACTTCGCATGTGTTCCAGGCGTGCATTCGTGCTTGCGTGCTACGCGCAGAAAGTGACATCAGATGTGACCTAATGATCCGGAAGACGGCCATTTTCCAGGGTGGAAAATGGCCGGTGCACAGTAAACAAGACAGCCCTCTGCACACGTGCAGAGTGAACGGAGCCCACATGGCATTCGTGAGATAAATGAATCAGCCTTTAACAAAACACTCTATAATGTAACATCATTTTACAATCAATCCTTTGTTCTCCTTCATGCCCATCATTAAATATTTGTGTTGAATCTTTGAGCGCTGCTATCATGGCAACTTTCACGACAACCGGGAAGATACATTGAGACTGAGAAAGAAATGAACAGCGGTAGAGATGTGGAAGCAAAGAATCTCCTTTACTTGCCGCCCTATCACATCAAATCGTCTCAGAGAGCTTTGCAGGTCGGTGTTGTTGGGCAGTGACTTGTCAAATATTCCACTCCGAGCTTTGCTCAGCTGGTAGCACCCTCTACGTCAGAAGATTGTGGGTTCAAGCCTTCAAGGAAGTGAGTTAACCATAATAATAACCGAATAATAATCCTTAAATGATTGCGATCTAGGCTGACATTCCAGTGTAGTGCTGGGGTGGTGCTCTAATGATAATAATAATGATGATAATAATTGTTGCATTTGATATAGCAGCTTATCACAGCATTGAAACGTCTCAAAGCGCTTCACAGAATATACAGTAAAATTAATTGGCTGTATATTTTGTGTGTGAAACGCGGCAGCCAATTGCACACAGCGTTGTCCCACAAACAGTTGTGGTTTGAGTGACCAAATCTTTAATTTTTTTTGAAGGGATTGTTACCCACGGAAAGCGATCCACCAATCGGCTAACAACCGGTTGAGGTTGTCCTTCAGTTGAGGAAACTTGCCCATTTGGATGAGACATTAAATGGATTCCATCTGCCTGTTCAAGTGGATGATAACAGTCCCATGACACAATTTAAAAAAGAGAAGGAATTTTCTCCCGGTGTCTTGGCCAACATTCCCCCACATAAATGAGCCCCCACATATGGCCATTGGTGGAAGGTTCCCATGTGCAAATTGACTGCCACATTTGGCCTCAACTACACAGTCAGCTGTCAACAATTACCTGTAAAGTGCTTTGAGACGTTATTTAACAATATCTTGTCATTTCAGCGATGGGTGTATGAATTTCGCTCCCTCGGCCTGGATCAGACTCTTGCATGACTTTTCTCCTGAAGTCATCAACGACAACAACGAAATTCCATTTGTATGGCGCCTTTCACGTCAGGCGGACGTCCCAAGGCGCTGGAAAACTACTTATTGTTCTTTAAACAAATAGTGAACAGGAGCAAGAGTGCTCTCAGCCTTGGGATCCAGGTCAAAATAATGAATTATGAGACAAAAAGAAATTATAATCCTTACATTTCATATAGCACCTTTCACATTAGGAGGACGTGTCAAAGTGCTTTACAGGATATACCGTAAAGTCCAGTGACATGCGTTTAGTAGGCAAACCCTGCAGCCAATACACAGCAATGTCCCACAAACAGCATGGAGTGAGTGACCAATTTTATTTGGTGGGGTGATTGGCCAGGAGAAATTCCCTTCGCTTTTTGAACGGTGGTACGGGATGCTTAACATCCACCCAAACAGTCAGACCAAACAGTCGGTTTAATGTCTCACCCGAAGGATGGCAGCTGTGACAATGTGGCATTCCCGCTTCCCCCATCTCCGACAGTGCTTTGGGATGCCAGCCTAGACTATGTGAGCTCAAGTACATTTTCCCTTTCCCCCGATGATCTCTCCATGTGATGGCCTGAGAATATCAGCAAAATAATGACTTAACCTGTTGGGTATCTGTGGCCAAGGCTCAAATGCAATTAATTTTTGACCTTTGTTAGAAGTGCAGCATTTTGATATATGGTTCCAAAGGGATGGTAAATTTGATGACTATCACGGCTTACAATGTCACTGATCTACTGGTCAAATTGAAAAAAACTAACACTATCTCTCTCTCTCCATATTTATATATAAAACCCAGTTCTGTATTAATATTTTGCAAAGAACAGAAAGCAAGACCCAGGCTACACAGCGGCTAGCTTCAGGCAGAGAATAATGGATATCTGGGAGTGAAAGGACGGCAGAAATCGGATCAATAGGGCACAGATGAGATCATAAACCACCGGTGTAATGCTCAAATACTTTAGGACTGTCGCCTGAGATTAGATTACAGCCTTCAAACCACTCAGGAGGGATCTGTGAGGTTTAGGTCGCACACCGTCCGCAAGCTTCTTGTGTTTTTCTTTATTCAGTATTCGCGCTGGGCAGATATCTCTGTGCCTCTCCCTCCTCCACACACCCCCCCCCCCCCCACCCTCCCCCCCCATGACCTCAGTGCAAGGATTACCGATTGGATTCTTAATACTCAATGCTTATCAGGAACTAACGTGCAGTTGGTGGTGGCGGGGGTAGAATGGGGGGAGAGACAGAAGAGCTCTGGGAAGCTCTCCTGCATTAGGGATGCTATATAAATACAAGTTGTTGTTGTTATTGGAAGTGCGATTGGGCCGGAAGATTTGAGCTTTTTTATAGTTTGCAAACATGGAGAGGGCAGTATCCGAGCTTAGTCACATGATACTGAGCCAATTCAGAGGATAGCCCCACTAATGCTAATTATTATAATAATAATAACAATACTTCCATTTGATAAACAACAGCAACAAGTTACATGTGCAGAGTGCCTTTCACGTCAGGAGGACTTCCCAAGCTGCTGGTCAGGGATCTGCACCCGAGCTGGTGGTTGGGATCAGGAGGGGTGAAGGTTAGAGAGAGTAGGAGAGTGACCGAAGGCACGGTTGAAGAGGAGGGTCTTGAGATGGGTCTTGAAGGAAGCAAAGGAGAGGATGAGGCAGAGGGACTGCGAGATGGAGTTGTTAAGGGTCGGGGCAGAGTGGCTGAAGGCCTGCCCGCCAATGGAAGGGGCAGGCAAAGCGGGGGAAGTGAAGCAGGCAGGAACCTGCTGAGCAGAGGCAGCGGACAGGTTGGTAAGGGGTTAGGAGGTCACAGAGGTAGGGGGGAGCAAGGCCATAGAGGGCTTTGAAGATGACACTTGATTATCGTATCACATCATTGAGACGTCTCAAAGCGCTTCACAGAATGTACAGCAAAGTGAATTGACTGTATACTTTGTGGGCGAAATTCAGCAGCCAAATGCCACAAACAGTTGGTTTTTTTTTTGATTATTGTGGAAGGGATTATTACCCCCGGAAAGCGATCCACTAAATGACTTAACAACCGGGTTCCCACTTACTGCGAGGTAAACCGAGGCGTGTGGAGTGAAGAAACGTGCCTAAGGTTTTGCACCGCCTGGAAAACTATGATATTATAATTAATATACAGGGTATAAAGTGTAATGCATTTGAGGGGACCCGGGTTCGATTCCCGATCGGGTCAGGGCGAGGCATTGAGCAAGCTTCCTTGCTCCACGCATGCACACACACACACACACACACTCTCTCTCTGTTTGCCAGCAGTCAGTGGGAGCCCGGTTGTTGGTCGATTGGCGGATTGCTTTTCCGGGGGTAATAATCCCTTCCAAAAATAATGATTTGGTCACTCAATCCATGACTGTTTGTGGGGACGCTGCTGTGCACATTTGGCTACCCCGTTTCGCCCACAAAATACACAGTCACTACGCTTTACAGTGTATCCCGTGAAGCGCTTTGCGACGTCTCGAAGATGTGATGAGGTGCTGCGTCAAATGCGAGGATTATTAATATCAGGAGTATTATGGGATCGAATGTAAGGAATATTATTATTATCAGCGCTTTGGGACATCCTCCCGACGTGAAAGGCGCTACACAAATGTAATGTTGTCGTTGTTGTAATGACTATTTTGTGGCGAACAGTGCAGCCAGCAATATTCCCACAAACAGCCTGGGTTTTATCCCTCTGGAACAGGACTCCCATCACAGCATCAAACATTTTTTAAAAAATGAGTCAAATGTCCTGACCTCAGTCACCTTTCCCGGGAAACTATTCCAGTTGTTAATTCCCTTTAGGGCACAGACAGACTTCTGTCTGAAATTGCCCTTTGCAACTCCAAACCTGTGTCGTCTTGTTCTTCTGTCTCACAGAAACCCTATTTCACCACTAGGGTATTGAGTTCATTTTAAGACCACTTTGCACCAGAATGTTTGCGTACTGAATAAATCAGTGACCCCATGTGGAAATTACAGCTGTCTTTGGTGGAACNAAAAAATTATTTTGATGCTAAATATTAAAGAAGCAAGTAATTTGCTCCTCAGAATATTCTGGAATTGTGCCTTTTAAGGACGGGAGGTAATGTAAACTCTAGTATTGAAAACATTCATTTAAAACTTTCTCTCACACTTAAGTATATAAAAAAAAATCCCAGCTGGGAGACGGCAGTACTGGATGAACTATTGATTAGTTTCCTGGCTGTTTGTGGGACGTTGCTGTGCACATTTGTGTTGCTGCGTTTGCCGAGAAATA